AAAAAAAAAAAAAAAAAAAAAAGAATGTGGTCCTTCTCTCCAGCCCAGGGCTGTCCTCTCTCTCCCAGCAGCTTTCGTAGCTGCGATTCTTTCTTCCCTGGCTCCGTGTGGGGCTCGAAGTTTGAGTATTCCAGCTCTCGGTCGTCTGAAATTTCAGCTGACATTAAGATGGAGATTTTCAAGTAAGGACTATCCCCCAGTTGGTTGATAATTGAATCCAGATATTAAAATGTAACTGAAAAAAAGACCCCTGGCTTTTGTGTGTATGTGAAACACACAGCCTACAAAGTGGGGACCTCGTCCTGGGCCTGGCTCTGCCACTCACTAGCTATGACCTTGGCCACCCTCTCTGGAACAATTCCTAAGTGAATACGGAGATGGAGCTAAAGGAGCTGGTTTCTTCCAACTCTGTAATTGTTTTTGGCAAACCCAGAAGTCCATAGGGTCTGTTGCCCTGCCAGGAGGGTCCAGGAATGAAACAATGTGGAAACCAAGGCTGTACGTGACGACTGGGTGAGTGAGAGTCGGAGGCCGGCCACTCTTCCTTCCAGTGGGGTGGTCCGCTTCCCATTCCAATAACCTATCATGCCTCTCTCCCCCTCGCCACAGCGATGGGCCAGCCAAGGGCCTGACAACATGGAATTCTCCCAGCATGTTTTTCTTATGGTAGGGCAGGGCACTGGAGTGTTTATGAACCTGGCAGGCAGCCCGGGCCGTTAATCTACAGTGGCCTAGATAGACTGCTTTTCTCACAATTTGGCTGCTGGGGTCCTTTTAAATGCACTTAGGTTCAGAGATGTCTGTGTCTTACCAGCTAAATCGGCCTTTCTGCTTCCAGCCCACATGATAATCTTTCCCCAGGTGGCCAGCTTGCAATTCGCGGGCTGGAAATGTCAGTCACTCCATTGCTCGGGGAATTGGGGACAGCAACGTCCTGGAGAGCCGAGTCCCAGCCCTCCCTGGCCCAGGGGCCTCCCGTTTGACTGTGGCTGGAGAGCCCCACTTTTCTTGGAGTTGGAGGAGACGTATCCCAGAGACTCTGTTCTGCCCTTCCAACTGCACGAACTGCGGGTAGTCCTACCTCGCCTAACGCCACCAGCCTGTTGTAAGGTTATCCAGTAGCAGCGTCGGCTTATGTAGCAATAAAGCCGAACGCACATTCACCTAGAATTTCTTTTGGGGTATTTAAAATAAAATGCTCAACACAGGCACAAGAAAAGACAAGGAAATTAGCATGGCTGGGTCCCTGGTGTGCACTGGGTATGTTGTGTGTGTTGAAGCACACCGTTTTGAGAGACTACATTCATTTAGAAAGGCTGGGTGATGATTGTTACCTGTAACACACAGCAAGTAGCAGAGCAGGGGTGCAGACCTAGCGCTGTCAAGTCTGAAGCCCTTGCTGTTCATCTTGCTGCATCCCAGGAAAATGAGAGCCCCTTCTGTATAGTCAGAGAATTCAGATATCATATTCTTACAGTACTACTTGCATTTGTTAGGATCCTGCTCAGCTACCTGGGTGAGAAAGTCGGAAATAATAGTGGCTTAAATGAGATGGAAGCTTATTTCTCTCATACTTTGAAGGTGTCTAGAGGCAGGCAGTCTAGCTACAGGGCAGTGGGGAGCTGGGCCCCTTCTATCTCTACTCCAACATCTTTGCACAATGACTTCTAACCCTGAAGTCACGGTCCAATATGGCTGCCAGAGTGCCAGCCATCTTAAATACTTTACAAATAGCTGACAAGAGACAGAATTCTCCTCCTAGAGGAATTAACCTCCTTTAAAGAGATTTCTAGGATGTCTTATACTCCTTTGCATGTACAAGGGGACCTCAAAAAATTTGTAGAAAAGGACTTAAAATTCAAGTCTTATTTGGTGAAAAATAAAATACATTTAAAAACTCATGTCTAGTATTTTCATAGTAAGCGTTTTTCATAAACTTTTTGAAGATGCCTCCTACTCCGAGAACTTAGTCACATGGTCAAACTGCAGAGGAGTCTAGGAACTGTAGTTTGTTTAACTGGACATCACTGTGACTCTGAGGAATATCCAAATTCTGTTACTAATAAAGAAAGTGGCAGTAGGTATTGGCTGGGTACCAGCAGCCTCGGCCCCACTGACACTCCCCGTGGGCGTCCGCCGCAGGGTGATGGAGCCTCACAAGGCAGCGACGCAGGACAGCTAGCGTGCCTCCTGCACCTCGGTAAAGCTGGGTGTTGGGGACCTTATAGCTGGCACCGACGACTAAAAAGAGGTCCTAGTAGTGCCGTCCATCCAACTAGGGAGCACCCTAGGGCTGGAGGGCAGCCTTTGTAGTCCGATCTCAGGCATGTCCATCGCAAACTCTTACCTCCCTGGGAGGAGCCCCTGCAAGTGGAGGAGGAGACTCTGCCCAGGCCCTGGGACGCACACCCGAGGCCCTGCTGTTCACAGCGGGGTCTGGGAGGAGAGGTGAATGGCCAGCATGGTGGCCGGATGGCAAGTTTCTGGTTCTGGAAACGACAGACCTTATCCACCCTTGTCCATTGCCCTGCGGGGACTTTGTACCTGCCACAAGGGAGAGGCTGAGGTAGAGGCTGGGGGCCCCGGGCTGTGTGTGCTGAGGGTCTAAGGGCCTTCAGGGGGAAGCTCCCAGGCTGGACGGGGAGGGGAGGCAGGTGCCAGGGATGCGGACGGATGGAGCAGCACAGCCTCCTACAGCTTTGCTGGACTGCAGAGTCCAGGTAGCACTCATGTCCCTGCCTTCCTGCCTAACTAAGATGGACTCCGCAGCTTTGCGAATCCTTTCGCTGTCCCTGTGGGGACAGGGCCTAGAGCAGGCCTCTGGGCTGTTCTGATACTGGGTTTTACCGCTCATATTCTACCTTTTTATTTCATTGTTTCAGATGGTCTCAGTTGCAGAGGAAGGGTTTAAACCTTCTTTTCCAGTTGTTGACATTTTTATGTATAGAGCTGTCTCTATTAACGATAGAAAAGGCATTCTAGGAACATTGGTTTTTTTGTCTTTTGGGGGGGCGGGGCAAAGCCAGATACCATCCGGCTGACTGTGGTTTGGATCCCAGGCCCAGAGGCCTGAGAAACACACTGGAGGCTTGTGCGTAGGAGCCCCAAGTCCCACAGGATGGGGAAACGGAGAAGGAACCGCTGCTTCACCACGCCCTCCGGGGGCTTTCTCCCCCCCCTCCCTGTCTCTCCCTGTGTCTCTGGCAAGCACTCACCCCTCTGGCAATTACAAAAAGTCGGGGGAAAGTCGTGGCAGGTGACAGTGTCCCTGCAGTAGAAATTTACACGGCATCAAACAGGAACGAGCACAGGACGTCCCCTGGCGGCCCTTGGGGAAGGGCCGGGTCGGCTGGCTGAGTGCAGAGGGGAGGTGGGGACAGTGGAAGTGGAAGGCTGCTATGTGTCCCGGTGTATTCAGAAGACATGCTGTTTTGTTTTGTTTTGTTTTAGATTTTTGCCATAGTGACAGAGAGAGAGGGAAAGTGAGAAATCGCTCCCTCCCCCAGGGGAGGGCTGAGCTGCAGTCCCTTCCCCTCCATTTTCCTCTCGGGAATTTGGACATGCATGCACAGATACCCAGCATCTTTTTCAAGTTGCTGGGTCCGGACTCAAACCACCAAGTTGACCATGTGGGATCCAGCACCTTAACTCCTGGCTCGACATCTGCAAAGAGAATGGTGTCGTAGTCCATTATCACGTTGCTACCAGAAATATCCGAGAATGGGTCATTTTATAAGAAGCACAGGTTTATTCAGCCCGCAGTTTGGAAATCCAGGTCCAGCTTTTGGTGACACTCCAACATGGGGGAGGGCAGAGCTCGGTGCACGCAGCCGTCCACAGGCTTCTCTGGCTCTGGTCTGTGTCCACATGGACTCTGCCTGCCTCGTCGTGCCCCCTGCCTATAAACCAATTAGAAGTCAATAACGGGCCTCACGCTGATGACCTGATCACACCCCGAGGCCCCAGCCTGGGACACAGTGAAGGAGTTGGGCTTTCACTCAACACATGTACGGTACAATCAGGTCCTGCCACGTGAGTCTCGGGACACCCCGTCACCACCCACTAAGACCAAACTAAAACACGAACCTTTGGGAGACAAGCTATTACCCAAACCATGGCAAAGGCTGGCCCCGTAACTGGATGGGAAAGGAGCCCAGATCCCACATGGCCATCAGTGGCTTAAATCCCAGCCTAGGAATCTGGAAAAACACACCAGGCATGTTTGTGTGTGTGCCCAAAATCCAGGCAGGAGGGAGAAGTGGAGGAAAAGGGATTGCTGCACGGCCACGCCCTTTGGGGGGCGGGGCTGACTTTTCTCTCACTCTCTGGTGAGCGCATGCGCCCTCTAGCCAAAATAAAATAAATCACCAAAGGGAATGCCATGAATACAATTATTACCTGCTTTTGATTCTAAGTACACCCCAATTTCAAGATGTTAAAATGATAAAAAGAAATGTGCCCAGACTGTTGGAAAGATAAAACTAGCCTTCATCTCCCCCCACCCCCTTCATGCCCCACGCAGGCGTTCATGGCCCTGGGGTGGCCAAGGCTGGGAGTAGGTTGTGGCATGATGATCCCGTGGCGTGCTCACTCATGCGAGAAATAAGTACATTTTACAGAGAGGCTGACTCAGCGCGGCCGGCCTGGGGACCAGGACTGGCCATCTGTGACTAGCGTGCCTGGGATTTGGGGGTGGGAGGTCCCATAGACGCTGAGGACACTTCCGGCGCCTTCGGAAACAGTTCAGAAGACCCGATGCCAGCTCTACCCTGAGCTCTCACCGTGTGGAGCACCTGTGTGGTGGTCTCTCGTTGGGGGGCCTTGGCATACTCATCCCGACAGCGTCTGCAGGCCTGCAGCAGCTGCCCCGATGGGGACTGTGACGGAGTGCACGCACAGTGTCACACACTGCTGCCCCTTTCCCTCAGTGACAGCAGCATGAGGGTTTGAATGGTCTGTCTGGCGAGTCCACAGGCCTAGCAGAGCTCCTAGCACATATTGATAACATAGGGGATGAATAAATCTGTATTCTGAAACAATAAAGAGAATGTCCCGATGTTATAGGAAAGAGGGAGGAGGCCCTCGCGAGCTCCTTTATTCCATATTGAAAGAGGGGAGCTCAGCACCATGGTACCAAAAACGTTAGAATACGTTTCAAAGTGTTTTCACAAAAATGCTCGCAACAGTTAACTCTAGCATGGAGATGAGGGATGTACAGATAAGCGTGTGTTTTTTACCCGTATTGTCTGCAACAAATAGCTGTTGTATGATTAGAAAGAGAGGAAGGGGTTAACAAAAGAAAGAAGAGGGAAGGACAGTAAGTTGAATGGGCCCCTGGTGGGGGGGTGGGGCGGGGAGAAGTTGGTGCATTAAGATGGGGATGGGAGCCTTGGGATTCTAAATGGGGAAGGGGACTGTGGGGAAGGTAGGCTGCCTTACCAAAGCAGAGCAGGGTCTAGTATCTGGTGCTCCTCCGGCATGCCTGGCCTAGGCCCTTTCCTGTCCTGACACTGGGCCCTGTGGGGAGCCATCAGTCCCCTCCTGGAGAAAGTCAGAAGAGCACACCCCGGCCTCTTCCATTCCATTTGCTCTCAGCAGGCCCGGCCCAGTTTTACTGCCGGATTCAACCTCCTATAGAAGTCAGCAGAAGGCATTTCAGCCGTCCTCATCTCTGCTTGCTAATGCCTACAACTCTTTCACTATGGGATAGACACAGGGGATGATGGCTTTTATTATAATCAGAGATCAAATGCAATGCTAGTTGGTGCAGCTCTTGACGGAAACTCATTCTGAAATCTAACCACTCGATGAGCTGATGAAAATAATTGGGATCCCATTTAGGTTTACTAGGAGAGAGGAGGTTCGTTTTTTCTGTGAAAGTCTTCTGAAAGTGAACAGTAAGTATGACAGCCAGCTTCCCAAATGGATCTGGTGAGCGTTGCTTCAAATTTGGACCCTGGAGCTCCACCTCCACATTAAGTAAGGCCAACCTTTTAAGCAAACGGCATAGGGCAAACATTGCGGTGTGAGAATTTTAGATCATAAAATGCAGCGTGACTTCCAAGTGCCCTCTTAGATATCTCGTTCTGAGGGAAGCCAGTGGTCATGTCATGAGGTCGTTCAAGCAGTCATCGTGAGAGATCGGCGGGGTGTGGAACTGAGGCCTACTGGGCAACAGGCAGCACCACTTGGCCCACCAAGTAATGGTCTGTCTTGAAAGTGAGTCTTCCTGCCTCAGTGGAGCCCTGGAATGATTGCTGCTGGCGTGAACGCCGCTGGTGAGAGACAAGACCTGTAAACCACCTCTGTGCTGACGTGCAGAGACAGCGTGGCATAGCAAATGCCTACTATTTATTAACTAACGGGGGGGGGTACTTGTTTTGCATAAACAGAACATTTAGTTAGAAAGTTTTGCTCTTGAATCTGGGAAAGATGATTACAAAGAGAGGGAGGGGTTAAAAAAAGAAAGAGGAGGAAAGGACAGGAAGTTGAATAGGACCCTTGTGGTGATGGGGGGGGCGAAATTGGTGCATTACGAAGTTGGTGAGAGGGAAGGAAAACACGATTGCTGTTGGGTGAAGGAAAAGAAATCTAAGACTGAGACCTGGGAGGATTCATTTCCACGGCCTCGTAATTTTGCTGGAATTTGTCTTTTTTGTCCCTGACTCTGGGAAAACCAAGAGCAGCTGTTAGAAAGTTATTTCTGCCCTTGGGAGGTCCTTTGTGCACGCACACAGACGGAGCACTGAGTTCCAGTCACACCCGTGTCGCGCCACAGGTTATATCAGAAACGTTACATCCCAATTATTTTCATCAGCTCATTGAGTGGTTAGATTTCAGAATGAGTTTCTGTCAGGAGCTGCACCAACTAGTATTGCATTTGATCTCTGATTATAATAAAAGGCATCATCCCCTGTGTCCATCCCATAGTGAAAGAGTTGTGCTTAGTATAAAGGCCTGATCCCCTCAGAGGAGTCCCCGCCAGTAATACTGTGCCTACACCATCTCGGGCTCAGGTCTATGCCACATATGTAAGATTGTACCATAAACACAAATATGGAGAAGGGTTTGTGGTGTACCTGCTCTTCACAGGTGTGGGCTCTCTCTCTCACTGGTGATCTCACACACCCTTTAGCCACTAAAACAAAAAGAAAAAGAAAGTGAACTTTGCAGAGACCCCATTTCAGTAGATCAGCTTTATTGAATCTGGGTACTTCAGTAGACGATGGCTTATGGGCTTCATTTTTCTCCAGTCCAGAGCAGTTTCACGTTGCAGAGTCGTGGCACAGACCCAGGGATCGCACACAATGGAGAAAACCTCTCATGGAAACAGAAAGGGGCTGTCCGGGACGCGTGTGTTGATGCAGCCTGCCTGTGGTCGACCTAAGAATCGCTGGGGGACCCCACCCACTTCAAGGAGTGAGCTCTGGGATCAGATGAATTTCTTTTGAAATATACAGGGTATTGGGACCAGTAGATGGAGTAATGGTTATGCCACTGGACTCCCACATAGTCGACCACAGTTTGAGTCCTAGACCTGGTGACTTAAAATTCATGCCAGGCACCTGTGTGCCTGCGAGCCCAAGATCCAAGAAGAGAAGGGAGGAGAAGGGATTGCAGTGCAGCCATCCCCTCTGGGGGGTGATCTCTCTCTCTCCCTTTCTGCAACCCTATAGCTAAAATCTCTTTCAAAAAAAAAAAGAAGAAATAAATAGGGTACCTCAAAAAGTCCCTGAAAAAATGCAAAATAAATAAATAAATAAATAAGTGAATTCATGTGGTGTTTTCATAAAACACACTTTGATGAAGTTTTTGAAGACTGTCCCCACCACCCTCTGTGTTCAGTTTCTAATGGATGGCGACACGAGAGAGAATAGGAAATACATTTAAGGTTTGCAGAATCTGAGTTGAAAACCCAGTCAAATATCAACACTTATCATTAGCTATTGGGATAAAGAGCTCAGAGATGACAGCCCGAGCATGTACAAAAGCCACCTTCAGAAAAAAATAAATCCCATTGAGTGGAGCCTGCTTGGGTGGCCAGCAGCTCCATGCCGCACCCGGAGACTCTGGGCGTTTGCACGCGGGGCCCCTGCCCTTCCCGTGGAAAGGCTGTGCTTGCCAGTAGGAAACACGGGGCTCTGGGAAGGCCAGGGGAGGCTGTCCGTGGAGGAGGCGGCCTGTCAGCGTGCAGACACTAGAGGGCAGTGTGCGCTCATGCCAGGGAAGGATTGCTCAGCGAGCCTCCCAGTCCAGGCTGGGCGCCTTAACTGCCCCTGATGTTCTCAGGACAAAACCACAGACCCTCTTCTCCACCCAGCTCGCTCACGGTACCCTACTCATTAGGCTGGCCCAGAAGGCAGGCTGGTCAGGGGTTCTGCCCCTTGACCTTTCCTTTGGATAATTGACAAGCCCTTTGTAGGGAGCGTATCTGGGCATTAGGGCCAGGTAAGGCCTGTGGCAAGTAGAAGCTTTGTCGCTTACTGTCCCCCTTAAATGATGCATGGGAAGGGCTGAGTGTACACTGCAAACGTCGAGTCAGGGTTAACCTGGGAGGGGACAGTGTGGTATTGGGGCGCTTGCTCCTCACAGCCCAGACCCTATTTAATACTTGAACCACAGAGACCTCAGTCTGCAGGTCACATGACCCTGGAGCCCGGCCGCCTCCCTTGCAAAGAAAGAACCCCTCGGGCAGGCATCCCGCAGAAGACAGGGCAGCGCGACAGTGCAGGCGTGAGGGCCAGTGGCTCACCAGCCTGCCCCTCAGTCCTGCTCACCTCCGCCCCAGCCCCGTGCAGCCCACAGGGCCCTGAAGGCTCTTGGAAGCCCCTGATGCACAAGTTGGCACGGCAGAGCAGGCCCGGAAGAGCTGTGGTGACCTGGCGCAAAGCCTCGGCCTTTACCACATGTATTGTCCACTTCTCTTTTTTAGGTTTTTGCCGTAAGATTCATGTGCTCACCAGACAACGAGGGAAAGCATTGCCAGGGAGGACAGCCATGCTGCAATTCCTTCTCAAGTCTCTTCTTGAGATCTTGGGCATGCACACACATGTGCCTGGTATGATTCTCTCTTTTGCTCTGGGACTCGAACCGGGGTCGGCCATGTGGGAGTCCAGCACCTCAACCACTACACCACCTGCTGGCCCCCATGTTGCCCACATTCAAGTGAGCTCGGCCCTGGCCACTGACGTGGTTTCTAAAGGCAGTGCTTGCTGAGCATCCCTGGTGTGAGGATTTGCAGACCGTAGTGGGGACAACGGGGCTCGAGCGACACTAGAGATGACCTTCCCAGTGGTGTGGCAGCAGGAGCACAGGCCTGGAACCTAGGTGTGGTGCCACATGTGGAGACTCACCCAACAGCCGGGTAGCGCTGGGCATGAGCTGCCCCTCCTGCCTCCGAACCCCCAACCCTGTGAGCCCCTCACTCCCCATAGGGAGCCTATCAGGAAAAAGAAGTTGAACCTTCTCCTGCACGCAGTCCTTACGGTTCAGGACGTGCTCCTGGGGGAGGCAGTTGTCCTGGGTCCCTGGTCCTTCTGCTTGTCATGCCAGTGGAGGCCGGACTGCCTTCATTCTGGACCTGCTTTCCAGGGACGGTCACAGGGCGAGCAGCCTGGGGAGCCGGAGACAGCAGCTGCCTCCCAAGGAGAATAAAGATAACGTCTCCCTCCAGGGTAGAGGGCAGGCTTACTCCCCATTCTTTTTTACGTCTCCCTCCAGGGTAAAGGGCAGGCTTACTCCCCATTCTTTTTTTTTTTTTTAATAATTATTTATATTTAATTAATTAATTAACTTTTAATTTGACCAGATAAAGAGAGACAGAGAGGGAAAGTGAGAAAGCAAGCT